ATATATATAAGGTCATCATGAGTAGTAGTGCGGTCCAACTTTCATGTTTGATAACATAAGCAATCAAAAAACGTTCGAAGCATATTTGTCGTGTTGTATTTTTGCAGTGTTATTGAGCTTGCATCCACTACGGAGTGGGCGCTAGCCAGCAGTTTAGGATCATTCGTTACTCTACTATGATGTGCGATACAAAGCCTGATATACAAAACATTTAAAATAGGGTAAATAATATATGTATTTAAACGGTAAATTTAAACTGTGAAAGAATTATTATTGTGTACCCCACTAGCTTATAATGGAGCAGAGCAGAGTTGTACGAACTATTCCAGCAGTAACGGTGTTGACCTATGAATACTGTGGATATCCAGGTGGATTGAATCAGCAACAACTAGGTGCCGCGACGACTCAGCAGCAAAGTACAGCGTCTTCAATTTTGGGAGGCCTTCTTGGAGGAGGTGGAAATAACCAGAACGCTAATCAGACGGGTGGTGGAACAACATCAACCGGAAGTTCGCTCCTCGGAAGTCTTACCGGGGGACTTCTTGGAGGAAGCGCGCAGCAGCAACAACAACAACAACAACAGCAACAGCAACAGCAACAACAGCAACAAATGAACATGATGAATAATCAACAAGGCTTTTCAGGTAATAATAACAAATCCGTATTTTAAACATACTACTACTGTTATCTTACACTTGCAGCGTGCGACCACTCTCTCGAGAACGAAAACAAATCAATGACTGGTAGGAAAGCCATGTACTGTATATGAATCGCGTCAAACAACGCATAAGTTACTGATGTCTTTGTGCTAGGTTAGTAGTGCGCCTTGTACACTGCAGCAGCCTAGTTGGCCGAAGTAAAAAGCAATATAGCATATAGTACTGCACGTTGAAGCTGACACTTCGCATTGTAGGCCAGCTCTTCGTAAGTTTCCGCGCGGAACTGAAATTAGTTTCCTCCATACTCCTGCCTCCTGGCAGTAGTACCTCACGATTTAGATGCGGAGTGATTTAAAAAAAACCTTTGCCTACTTTACTTAGGAGTATGTAAGGTGTCTAAGCTTAAAACACGGCGTCCTGGACGTAAACTCAGGCACATTTATTTAGACAGTGCAGACACTTGACACAGCTGACATGGATCATTTTGAGTATTACATTGTTAACGTATATTCCATGAGCGAGTGTTATGTAGGTTCAATTTGTTTCCTGTGGCCCTACACAAGCTTTACTCCTAATTTGCCTCAAAGCGCTATCAAATGTACTGAGCCTTTGCTCGTGATACATATTATTATTATTATATTACTCTTAGGCATGATGGGGCTGCAGCAGGGATCCGGTATGATGAGCGGCCCTATAAATCAAGGGGGCATAGCGTTGGCAGGACCCAACGCAATGCTGGGCCCTAACGGCCAACCGCTCGTCGGGCCAAACGGCCAACCCGTATTGGGACCAAATGGTCAGCCTCTTCAGCAACAGGGTGGCATGCAAACGTTGTTAGGGCCTAACGGACAACCCATGCTCGGTCCCATACAGCCAGGACAACAAATGGGGCAACTCGGTGCGCAAATACAACAGCCGTTTGGAAACATGCAGCAGTCTGGTTAGTATATAATATACGCATATATATGTATACATATATACGTATGTACTTATATATATATTCACACACAGATTTTCTTGTATGTTTGTCAGGCAGCTTGAAGCCGCAACATTATTTCACATGGAACATGCGAATTCTTCATGCAGTCCTATACGCGAATTTGGTCGATTAAGTTACTCATTTCGGTACAGTGAGCAGTAGGAAGTCTTAACCTTGTAAATTAATTTCAGGGGCTATCATCAAAAGCTTTTTCGAACAAAACGAAGGCATTAGTATCGAACTGATCATGCATAAAGCAACAACTGATCCATCCAGCAAATTAATGAGGGTTATCTGCTATTAATTTTTAGAATTTGGCTAACATAGGCTGCGTGATTTGTAATGAACTTTCGCAAATAGGCATGAATAATCCAGCTTTAGGACAGCAGTCGTACGGGTATGGTCCTATGGGCCCAGGAATGAATGCCCCGGTTACGGGAGCAATGGGCCAAGGACCAATACCTTCAACGAACGACCCTTATGATCCGTATGGCAAGAGGCCTGAGAATCAGTTAGCGGTACAGCAGCAGCGGCAGGGAAATTCTACTGGCGTTAATGTGGATGGAGCAAACTGGCAGCAGCAGCAGCAGCAAAATACTCAAAACTGGCAAAGGGTCTGTATACGGATGTCGAAAGCAAGATAAGATATTTTTCATTGTGTTATTGCTCCTCTGGCAATAGTTACGTGCATATAGCTCGAAACGTTCAGAGGGTGATTACTTCTACACTCACACATGGTAGTAATATCCTAAGCAGTGTCTTTATATATCTTTATAATATGAATATAGGTAGGCACCTATTTTTCAAATATCAGGTCTCAGACAAGATAATGATATACTAATATAGTTTATATTACATTGTTATATGCCACAATGAAACGTTGAATTAGTCGTATTTATATTTGAGTTCTCGAACTGAAGCGAAGTATATAGAAGTATTTTATTACGAACAAGGCGCTTAGACGTCCATATGAATAGGAAATCTATGACATAGATAACTGTTTTCAAAGAATCAAATATCTGTGGCAAAATTTCAATGACCCAACGAAAGTTCTGCTTTTTTAGGCTTAACTAGGGAATATCTTGTTGATCATATTGCGTAAATATATCGAACAGGTCAACTAGCAGTAGGCATCTGTTTAATAAAAAAAAAAAAAAAAGAAGAAGAAGAAGTGAGTGACTACCTACTCGGCAATAACACCGTTGTCGGATTCTTCATTTAGAATATTAAAATGACCTACACCTATTATTAAAATCAGTCAGCCATCTAATTCATGTGAGAGGTTTTCCTTCAACAAATTCGTCATGGATTTTGGTCTTTTGCCGCTTGTTGATCAATTTCAGACAAATGACCAGGATGATATGGCTCCGATGATGGGCACAGGCCAGCGGGGCAAACAGATAAACCAGGGAGCACGTGAGTACAAAGCACATTCATCACAACAACAACATCAGCGACTGCGAACGGACCAGCAGCTGCCGGAGAAGCAGCGGCAACGACAGCAACAGACACAACAGGGCGTAGGCGGCGGCGGCGGATGCAGCAGCTGGACAGCGACAGCAGTACCAGCTGCAGTGGCAGTACGAAAACAGCCTCAAACAGCCAGAGCCGCTTCTGCCTCTGCTGAAGTTGAGGAACGGCTCTCGTTTGGAAACAACGAGCACAAACTGCTGCAGCTGCTTGAATCGGAACTGGAGGAAGAGGATTATGTGGAGGATAATCTGGGCGACTCGGATGCATCCGAGGACCTCGTTGACGAGGCCCGCTTGGGTCTGTGCTTACCACAGCATCTCGGCCGATTAGCCGGTAGCTATCAGCAGTCTCAGCAAAGCTGCTTCCAACAAAGCCAGCTTGGCGCTTCGGCAGCACAGGCCCAGGGCCCCACAGTAGCGGGCGAGGATGCCCTCGAGGTGTACACGATTCCCGAGGAGGCGGATGAGGAGTCAGCCGGACTCTCGGGCGTCGCCCTGGCCGCCGATCTGGATGTCCTCAACTCCGACACAGCCCAGAGCTTGCTGCGGTGGAGAGGTAGGCCAAGACGGCCAGATCTCTGGATGTTCAGTATTCCCGTGCTGTTCTTGATTATGATGACGATGATGTCAGTGGCTAATGATGATGATAACTGGTGATGATGTTGCTAATGGTTTCTCATGTTGATGCTTCCCGATGAACGTCCGGACATCTGGCGCGTCGTTGCGCCGTTGTGTCGTTGTGTGTCGCTGTCGCACGCACACCTCGCCACCAATGAAGGCAAGGCGGAGTCGCGATCATCTGGCCAGATCAGCAATCTATCAGTAGCTTAAAAAGCACCACGTTATACTAGTTCATTAACGCTACCTTCAACTCAGCACTAGATTAATCTGTCAGCATTGTACTAGGCCAGAACCTAGTGTTCGTGTGAGGTTGAACAGATCGACAGATGATAAACAGATAGCCTGAGGGATGGACGGACAGTCTGATGAATATATTTATAATCGATCAGTCTCACGAGACTCGGTAGTATTGAAGATAGGCATCGCAGCACAAAATCCCCAGCCTCGTTCCCCCCCGAAGAACACGCGGACGATAATAAGCTATATACTTAGCTTGCTTGCTGTTGGCGACCCCTGCCGTGTCCAGCCCCCGCCACGAATCCCAACCCGAACCAAGGAGAAAATTTCATAGCAGTAATTGCTGTCTTGCAAATAGCCTTCGGAAAAGTTGCGCTAAATGCTTTCAATTCGGCTACAAGTGACAGCACTGCAATACTTACTGTATCTCCGTTCTTACCGGGCGACAAGTGGGATATCTATTGTGTTCGACAACATATTTGTTCTTAGGTCTGACTCAGGTTGCGTCTTTGTCGCCATCCGTAGTTTAAAAATGCCCACTGAGGCATCCGTGTAACCTTACACATGGGCTAAAGAAATGGGCCCATATCAGATCGAACGAGAAATGCTTCGGCATGTTTACTTCTACCGTATGTCATCTTACTTATGTGCACCTAAACTGCTAATTATGTCTATATTGTTACACCCAATCGAAATTTCAAAATATCGCGTAAAGCGTAAATTCTGGATCGATACATTTTGGACTAGAAGTATGCAATATGAAGCAATTCGGGTCACGCTTACGTGGGCCATTCTCTCTTGTTTTTGCTTTGGTAAAGCAAATGGCACCTATACTAACTATTACTTTTCGCCAAGCTACGACTAGCAAGAAAACTAGCTCCTCGAATAGGAACGAACCAGCAAAAATCATATCTATCCAGCTACATGTGCTCTTATACTCGCATATATAGATATCGTAAAACTGCTCTGAAAATTTTTGGGGAAAATTGTTTGATAAAGTTCTAAGAGGAACTTCTTACTAATAGGGTTCTAATAGGGGTGCCACAGTGAGTACGTATGATCTGACAGCGATCGCGCTTCGGCCTTGGCACTCACCGTTGTCATGTCGTGGTCAAATGTCGTCGTTGGAATGGCCCCCGCTCGATTAATCTAGTTGTGATGATATCCTCTGTCAATCCAAAAATGCAGCCTCGGCACGGAGCAATGTAATTACCCTAACCCAACAACGACATAAATGGAATGAGTGACATCAGCATACCTAACCTATTAGCTCCTTCTCTCTGTATTCAGGCAGTCCCTGGCTGATTTATTCTTTCTCGACGCTTCGCTTTGGTGTCCATCTTTCTGTACTAAAGCCACGCTCATAGTGTGTGTATTCGCTTAATGCTCTAGGGTCAAGTCCACTAAGGCCATCAAAATTATGACAGAATTTTCAAGTTTTGAAGTTCACTGCCGATTATTGGATTGTTGTCGTCCACTGCGAGCCTTAAAAGTAGCTAAGTGTTATCGCTATGTAGCCTAGCAACCTTGCCTTGCATGATCGCAATATCTAGCCACGATTTAACCACAATATGTCTCATAATGGAGTTTGACATTGGCAGCCTTATTGCGGCTTTGTGAAGTTCTGTTTCCGAGTTAATTTCGACTGAATTAAGTTATGTTGGAAAACTGCCTAGAGCATTAGTCACGATAACTCTGAGTGGAGTAAAGTGCGGCGGATTATGCCAGCGTCGTTAAATAGTTTGTTATGACCGGCTATGCCCAGGTCTCGAATTATCCTACCCGTCGTCGGTTTTTCATAGGCTGCATATTCGTTATTCGAATTTTTGGATTCCTCGTGGATTTTTATGATTTCTAGCTGCCATGTCCATCATCCTCATTATTTTTCTGGAGTACCTTTAGAGCTGGAAAGGGGAAGACGGGCTGGCTTCCAAACTCCGCCGGCCAAACAAAATATTTTAGGACTTATTCGAAAAAAAGAAAAGGCCTGCATGTCCATCCGATGTTGTAGTCTTTTGCTGCCGCCTCCTGATGTGTCTGTTCGCCCCTTGTTCTCACTTATTACAGACTTACGCTATGATCAAACACTTCCTCACTCTGACTTATATCTAATAATTGTTATTCCCTCTGCGGTTGTAATTTTTATTATTACTGTTATTAGAATTAATATCATCATCGTCGTCGTAAATGGTCGTGATCTCGATTGTGACGTCATTGTCATTGTAGCACTGCCCTTTACTAATGCGTTTCCGCTGAGTGTGCATCCCATGTAATTGTACTTGCCCTCCACCAATGTCACCACTGCCATTAGCACCAGTCAATGTCTGCTGTACGATCGTGAGTCCGTCCATCCTGATCTCTAATGTCTATCGACTGTCTGTCACCCGCCACTTTCTCTTTCTCTTTGGTCTTTTCACCGTCCCACTGTCCCTCCTATGTTGTGGTGGGTACAAAGTCGACTTTGGACGGATCCTCCCGGGCCTTTTGAGCCGTCCTATCTCCTGGCGAGCCTCCATGTGTCGTAAGCTGCTAGAGAGGGTCAGGACTGGATGACGAGCGATGATTTTTCTAACAATAATACATTAATTGCTTCTTACTATGCAAACGTTGCAGGTCAGCAAGGTCAGCCGCCACCGCAGCAGGACACTCGCGAGCAGAGGCCTAAAAACCTCGCGGCTCCCCGTTCCCAGAGGACTCTACCAGCACAGGTAACCTCAACTTTCTCCAGTGCCGCCCCTTCGGCAGCCTCCATAGAGTTCGCTACTAGCTCGACGTTAGCCAACGTTTCAACTGCCACACCCAACGCTACTTCGGTTGTTCAGTCTTCTGCGAACGGTTCTCGGGCGGAAAGCTTACCAACGACCACTAACACTTTCGGCCCGGTTGCTCACACGGTCACGGTATCAGCGACCTCTACTCCACTTTCATCTGTTCTGGAAGAGCCACACGCCACTTCGGATATAGGATTGGTTCAGCATACGGAGTCGAGTAGCCAAGGCACCCTTCCAGAGCTAACCGAAAAGCCTTCAGCACCGTTCAATGCGTTTGCAGGGCTCTCTTCGCAAACTCAAGCCATCCTAGATAAGCTAAAAAACACGCCACCGACGACCACCAATGGTGCGTTGTCCTTGCAAAAAGGGCTGTATCCCTCTTCAGGTTATAATCGCTCCATTGCCAGTTCAACAGACTCCACCGCAAAACGCTCGTCAGGACTTAACCATGCCTTACAACACCACATGAAAGTAGATGATTTAGCTCGCTACGAGCGACAGGATCACAGGGACCGATACCGACCTTCATCCCAGAGCAATGTACCCGTATCGTTTGCTGCCGCCACTTCTTCTAGTTTCCAAACGGACTCAGTTGCCGGAAGTGTTGTAGGACTCCCCGGCATGAACAACACGTTGTCCAGGACAAGCTCGCCGAGAATGCCCGCGTGCCAGGGCTATCAGAACTCAGCACATGCGTCACAAGATGTCGTTTCCAGAGATAGACCGAATAGTCCTTGGAATTCGATACGGGATCAAGACCACGACACTGAATACGCGCATCGTAATCCGGCTATTTCCGCCTCCGAGGACAAGCTTTATCCAGCTAAAGATGATCGCAACCGCTACAGTCAAATTACATCATTAGTCGCCCATAAAAATGCAAAAGTAGATGGTGGAGCGATATATGAACAAGGTTCGGGCCAGAGCCAGTATTCGGGCGAAGTGCAGAAGCAACTGCCACAGCAGCCCGGTACCCAGACGGATCTCGCAAGTCAAGTTCAGCCTGTCCACATGCACATGGGCCCACAAAAACAGCACCAGATCAATGATCAGCGCAAGCTCGATAGAGATAGACTTGACAGCAACTGGGGGGATCTGTCTCCAATTCAGGACATGTCCCCGGCGTACGAGGACGCCACCAGTTCCGCCCATGGCAACGGCTATGCTGCTGTTGCCGTTGGCGGCAGTGGTCAGTTCGGCATGCGTTCCTCTTTACCCAGGGCCCAAAGCGGTACAATATCAGACATGTTAACGGAATTCGACCGTGGTGTCGCTTCCGGTTTAACAACGGATATATACGGCAACCACATCGATCAGTCGAGCTCACAGCCAAAGCTTCCTTTCTCAACTACTGCAACTACTGTACATGTCGTGCAGCAAAACACAGTGGTCGTCGGTAGTGAACAACAACACCAGCTGCAGCATCAGCTCCAACAACAACAGCAGCTGCAAGGATCAACTGTTGCCCTGAGTAAGACAAGTCCAACCAGGCGTACCCATCGGCGGCTTCCGCAGCAGCCGCCAGAGTCTCAAGCGGTTGCAGCCAAGCTTCCTAGTTCAGTATCGAACTGCTCGATGCAATCACTAGTTGTTTTATCCGACGGTAAATCCGTTGTGAGTTCTGCACCGAGAATGCTGGGTACGCCATCAAACATAGCTTTGACTTCGTCTACAGTGGGTACCGCGGCAACATCAGCGGTCGCTAAATACACGGCCCCAGCGGCCAGCCTGGTTTGTGGAGTCCAAAGATGTAGCGCTACCCCAGTTCAGATTCTTCAGTCGCACCAATGTACCGGCCTAGTACAGATACCCCAGGTACAAGTCACTTCCGAGCCAACTTTGGGTCATCATCAAGTGGCCCAGTTGCATAGCTGCCCACAGCACGGATATCAGACGGCATCGCCGATAGTCCCGGCGCTCACTTCCGTTCAGACTGTAGCGACGCCATGCTGTCATCATCACACAGTCGCTGCGACTCCGGTCGCCCAAGTTGTTCAGCTCGTCCAGCCGCACAGTGGCGCGCACCCAACTAATCCCGCAGCGGCAACAGCAACAGCGTCTGGATCGCAAGAGCAGCATCAACATCAACCAGCATCCCATCATCAGCCCGCGATCCAGCAAGGGCAGGCTACGACGACCCCAATAGCAATGGCGACTCCGCAGTCACAGCAACATGCCTGCCAGACGACCGCTATCAGTTCGAGCTCCAAGACCCCCATCACTCCTCAGACCCCGGGAAGCACCCAGGTAATTGTGCCCGCTCTCTATTTGTATATCTCTTCACCTCATCCTTCGCCTGGCAACAACAAACGTATCAACAACTCTTCTACCACATGGCCACCACTAGAGCGCACCTACCTCGTTCGGTTCATTTCGACGGCTGGGTGATTGACCTTGCCACAGATTGCCGCATTGCATCGTCTATAGCGGCGGTCAGCGCGAGTGACTCGGAGACCTCTTAAAGACCTCCTCGTGACGATTCCCTCGAATCGTCTGTGACCCTTAACAATGCCCGTGCCCTGAGAGCCAATACTGTTAGCAGTTTCTCTCACCTGGACCATCCAGACAGAATAGCAGACCACTAACAAGAACGCAAAAGAAACAAAAGATCCAGACAAACCGCGAGATGACGACGATGATGATATCATATTGGATGGGTGGGTGTGAGTGTAAATGCGCCCGAGTGTGCGACGCGCACCGTCTCCTTCTTCTTCTGCTCCACTTCCTTCTCACGTTGAACTGGCATAAACTAACTGCGTGTTCTTGTAGTCGAACCAACGTCGCCACTGCTGGCCGGCCAAGCGCCGGTTAATGATAGAACCCTAACGCGTCCTGACACAACAGCAACAGCCAACATTTAGCAGACAACAATGTTACCAACAACAAAAACCAGAATAATTGAGCGGCAACGAATGATGCGTTCAGTATCGCTTGATTATTTATTTGCTAGATCTAAATCGATCAGCTGAATGATGACTCCATATATTATAGCTATGTATGTAGTCTCACTATCAGTTATGTCAGGCTTCAGCCTCAATCGCGTAAACGTGTTGCTAGTACAATTAGTGGTACCACAGCTGCAGTTCTAATACACGAGATGCAAACAACAACAGCCAGAAAACCCTTATTCCTTTAGTTGGTCAATGCTTCGAGGCAGCGTTGCTTGATCGAATCCCCTTAACCACCATCGCCGCCGCCGCCGCCGCTGCCGCCGCCGCCGCCGCCGCCGCCGTTCGGCTTGGAACGTTTTCAACTATTCCCTGTCTTTTTCTTCTATTTCATTTATATACACACACGCGCATATATATATATATATATATATATATATATATATATATATCTACACGCTCTTCACTTTGTTACATACACATCTCGTGTAGACTTGTGACTATCTGTATGCGCACACATATGTACAAGTCGAATATTATTACCATAATGATCATTGTTCTTATTACTGTTCGAGTTGTTTATATGGATTAGTCTAACCCTCGCAGCCTTGCGCTGAAAGCTAATTCCGTTAGCTTGCCATAAAGCGAATGGTGATGACGACTGGTCGCAGGTGACGGAAGTCGACGCAAGTAATTCCCGTAGAGCTTTGAATGTAAATGCAACCCGCAACTCATCGATTTGCTGCTCGTTATTGATCTGGCCAGTGTTTATGCTGGCCTAGAAGTAATAGTGTGTAGTGGTGACGACGATGACTATAAAATAATGTTATCGTCGTCAACTGACGAGGCCCTGCTCAGGTCTCTTCAGTTGTTCTGCAACTGATTTTTATTGATTTCGTTCCATGAACAGGTGACGTTATCCGGAAAAGTAAGTGGCGATGGCGCCTACTTGTCCGGGATTTCTAGCTGTTCTGAATAGCCATAAGAAAGTGGCTAACTGTACACGTTGGCTATGGCTTCTGATTGTATTACTGGCTATAGCAATAGTTAGTATAGATGGCCAACTGAAACTGCCAGATCTCTGGCAACAGCAACGGCGGTGCTGTTGTTCGATAGAACTCGTCCTTTGACCGGTTTCTTCTTTCTAACTAGAAAAGAGTTAAGGTTCTCATATAGATAACTGAGGTTCACAATAAATGGATAACACTATTAAGCAGAATGTGAACCATGGCCCACATTTGAGCATACTCCGTTTGTCTTTCAGGTTAGAAGCGTAGACGTATCTTTGATAACTGTGGTACTCACAAGGTGAAGTAATCGAATACGTTTTAAACAGGAAACGGCGCTGTAAGCTGTTTTCAGCGTGTGTATAGATTATGATAATAGGTTGATGCTGCTGTTTCTACCAATCTAGATATGATTGTTTTCTGCACATCCTGCATCAACGGCATTCGAAGGGAATTCTCAATCATCCTACTATACTACCCCTTGAGCTCCTCCTGCAGAAGTTCCAAAAGTGCGAACAAAACGGGGCGAAAGCAACAACGCCTCTGAGCATTAAGTTCTGTTTCATTATCGTATAATTGTCAATATATGTCAACACGTTATCCGTTTTACGTTAGAAATAGTGAAGAACTTTCGTACGAATTTGCTGTACATTATTATTGAACAAGACCATAATTGATTAATTCACTGATTGACTGAATTGCTGACTGACTGACTGACTGACTGATATTCACTTAGCTATCGATTCTTATTTGATTGACTAATTGATTGACTGGCGTGCCTGAAGCTGGAACGAACCGACGTCTGCTTGACTGCTGCATACATACCACCGCTGACTATATACTCCGTCCTTTATTGTTATTGTTAGTATATATCTGATAACTATATGCGTGACATGCCACAGTGTATGTGTACCATAAACGTACGTGCCTATATGTATGTTTGTGTGTGTGCCTGTATGAGAGCGGAAGTTGTCTGCCTAGGCTAACCTAGTGCAGACGATCTAATGGCAGCAATCTTTTAACGGTGGAAGAATGGATACGTTATGTTTACACATTACTGATTTATTTGCTGAGCCCTCAGCCTATCTCTGTCACTGACACACCCCCTCTTTACATATCCCTCTTCGATCATTTGTTCATTGATTCTTTATTCAATGTATGTCTGTTAGCCTTTCCCAGTATATTCTATCCATATTTAGTCTGTGTACTTCCTACTGATAAGTACTGACGCTGCACCTCCATCTATTGGCATTTTATTCTGCTCTTCTATACTGAGTACTCACAAGGTTTTCCCTACATTGTTCGTCTTCCAACCGCTCCTTTTCGTATCGTATACTAAATAATTTGTACGTAGTACGCTTACATATGTGTACTAAAATGCTATCGGTATTGTACAAATATTACGTTATTATTAAACACACGTTAATTAATTAACAGATAGGTGAATCTGTTGACTGATTGATTGATTGATTGATTGTTATTGATGGTTGGTCGTTGGTTCGTTGTCCTTGGTTTGTTGTTGTTCACGTTATGGTCGCAGTGGCTGGACGTTGGGAGATGGCAGTTCAACTTTTGTGGCGACGGGCAAAAAGTAAAGGCATACCCCCTTCGCGATTGTCGATTGACAAGTCGACAAAAAGAAGTTGAAAATAAACCAACTTAAAAATCTTTAACCGGGAGCTAGTTAGTAGTGTAAAAGATATCTAAGGTTGACCAATATGACTACGCGCTATGCTTGCTACTTCGCAACAGCAGCGGCCGCAGCAGTCCCGTTTAACGTTGGCGTAACGCGTTACCGTAACAAACAAACTCAGTTGACCGGCAAAACATCAAAAAAGTTCCTCAATGACCTGTTGAACGACGATTGTTCAACAGGTGGTTGGTTAGCTCCCTCGATTACTCATTCTGCTATGTACTGACATGGCCAGCTGCAACATTGGCTGCTCTAGAGAACTTCATCGGGAGCTTGTCGGCTTGCCTGCTTAGATTGGCACCTGACATTCGATCTGCTATAACAGTACGCGTAGTTTAGCTGCTACTGGTGATAATTATAGTAATTATCGGTCAAAAAATAATGGCCCAACGTCTGTGGTCTTGCTGTTGCTCCTCTGACAGTCTGATAATGGTCGGGACTTGAGCGCGAATAGAAACTTGATTAGAAAATTGATGTTTGCAAAGAGAGATAAAAGGCCAAAAGCCACCTTATAAATTGCTGCTTATGACAGTCCGGCGTCAAGCTCCCGATTCCGGAGGTTCAGAGTTTTGCGAACTTCTCACTTAGCCATAAAGAGACTTCGTGATATTTCGAGGGTGAGCCACCAGCTAGAGGTGACTTAGACATTACTTGCTGTGCTATTTGTACATCTCGAATTTAAGCAGCCTCAGGCTTGGGTAAATGTGCGTGTGGGGAGTGGGAGGGGTTAAGGACTACTGAAGGTGACAGTCAATAAGATAAACGAAACAGCTCAAATCTACTGAAAGAGGTCAAACTATAACTAATAAACGATCAAAAGTAATCGATGATCGATCAACGATAGATTGGAAGGCGAGTGGCAAGGCAGCACCAACCCGCTCCCTTGGCGTTGCACCCATCTCCCACGTGACCCACTGCATGCCAACTCTCTCTTTCTTACCTTGATCTCCCTTTATCGTTTGCATTTTCTATTGGATTCTAGTTGGAAAGTCATTTGAGTTTCATTTCTTGGTTGCGGTCTCTTTGCTTCGGCCACAGTGGATCCTTTTACAGTTTACACTAATTGAGTTTGCGTTATGTACCCAACAGTTTTAATCTTACTCCCTCGATCCTATTTGCCATACGTGTGTTGCTCTGCGACATTCAGAACGAGATGTCTAACTGGTCGCAGCGCACTTTCTCCAAATCTTTGTTAATCTATCAATCCATTACATATGTGCACGATCTTATGGTACGCCCACATCTCGTAGCAAATAAGTCCCTGCCGGTCTCTGGCCACGATCAACAAAGACATTCATCCTTCACTCATCAATCAGACTTGTAGTTGCAATATAATAACTTCCATAATGATGAATTGATTAGACCATGCCCCTGTTGTACGCATTTACGTAATCACTTAATCATCCATCCTAGCGGACACTAGCTCTCATATGCTCTATCTACGCATCGGCCTTGAGCTACCCATCGCCATGACAACTATTTAAATAGTCTCTGCTATTATCCTTCTTGTTATTGGGATCGTTTGCCAAAAACTAATTAATAGTCAGGCATTTTTACGTAGGTGTTTCTAGCAGTGGGTGCGATGAAGTTCTTATTCCACTGCCACTGGGAAGTTGGATTACTTTTATAGTAGGTCCATTAACATAACTCGCCAGGACGCTGAAGGCGTTCAAGTTTCAGCACTACCGAGAACATCACCCCTGCGCCTATGCGCTTCTTTGAATAGTCTAAATGGTACCACAATGCCAATGTTTCGATACGTTGTGTTACGATTTCTATGATTGTATCACACTTCGATCATCCGTTTATTTATTTTTCATAAGAAATGTCGACCACCCTTACGTTTGTCGCTTTTGATGATCCCCGATTAACAGAGTTGTTTGTTTCCAGTATGATTTTTAGTTTTTATACCTTCATCAAAGTTATTACTGTTTTTTAAGGCAGCAGAAAGCGTGGTTTGTCTCATCGACATTATGATCTTGTTCATTTATTAAATAAGTTTTGTATTGTAGCTCGATTTTTCGCCTTTTTGATTGACAGACAATTGTCCCCGTTGAACCCTAACCATTGATTGATTTCTTTCACAATCGCCTGGCTAGCTTTGTGTATCTACTCCCGCGTAATTTAGTGCAATGGCAGGGACTAAACGCCTGAGTGCCGTCAAGAAGATAGTTTTATCAGATTTCTTCTTTTTGTTTGTCTGTCCTTCTCGTTTATCTGTGTATGATTCCTTTTTGGTCTCTACCACTTGCCTTCCGGGGCTCATCAATGTAATCGTTACTGCAGGGGGGTGACTCTTCAGATACGATGAGCGAAGCCGATTCGACCAGGTCGGGTGGCAAAGTTCGTCGAAGACTCCCGCCCGTTCCTCCGGATCAGCAGGATTCTGCGGTGATTGCAGGGATGCGACGCGGTAGGGATCGCTCGCGAGGTGCCCTGTCGGCGGGCGGCGAGCGTCGGCGCGGCCCCCTTTTGCCTCGCGCCGCCTCCGTTGATGGCAGTGGTCTCCCCATCACCAAGACCTCCGCCGGTTCCGGCTCGCACAACGCCACAGATCCTCTACTACTGTCAGGTATGACGAGGTCACGATATCATCAGGTATTCTCTGTCTCTTTCCTTTTCTCCCTGTTCCTTATAGTTTTGCACTGATATTTTTCTGGGCCGATATGATCATGATAACACACACGATGATACTGCACAAATTATTCAACTTTACGAGGGCTTCGGTCTGCGCTTGCTGGTCTGTGATTAAAAACGTAAATGTGTAGATATTCAGAATGAGGCAATATTCAGGAAATCGGCTGCATCGCTTCTGGTGATTGAAAGGACCAAGCGGTTAAGGCGTCATTGCTAGGGTTCGATAACTGACCAGCAAGACCAGTATAAGCCGAAGAGAATAGATCATATCTATTAGCAACTAACGACAACGGTTGAATGAGGTAAAAAATGGTACATGTTCTTCTAATGCCGTGTTCTAAGAAAGTTCCGAGTCGATTTTATTCAAAAACAAATGTTTTAAACCGCATGTTCGACTCTGTCGGTCTGACAAAATGACCATTTGGAGAGCAGGCCTTTTTAAATTTGAGACCGTCTTCAATAATAGTTTTAATTTGTCACAAGCAGATCAACATAGATGTATTTGTATTCTGTCCTCAATATGGCCTTAATCTATTATCAATTAGCCTACTCGCGCGACGAACAAATTAAGGTTTCTTTTAGACCTTACGTAACGACATTCTCGTAGCGTAAAGCTCGAGGGAACTCTAGGTAGTAGTAATAACTTTTGGTTTACGACATGACGAGGTGACGTGTGTTTTACTAATGAATTCATGTGTGATTGAAATAAGCTGTATGATTCAAAATATGGCGACAATATACATTTAATGTACCGTAGTTTTCTCTTTTGAGTTAAGTTAATTAAGCCACTTTTTGAGCCACTGAAATGTACCTCAAATGTAGTATAGCATTTTCAAAAATAGGTGGCCGTGTATAATAATCCTACATGCTAAAAAGCCTATATGCTAAAGAAAACCCTTCGACAAAGCAGAATTCTGCATTAAACCTAAGCTCTATAGATAGCGTGAATCGAGTGCGCACGATATCCTGTATCGAAATTACTTCATAAAAAGCCGTTATTATTATCATAACATAAATCTCTAGCCTTCATCTCTACTAGCCAAATTTTTGATAGTGCAGCAGCGCGTAGCACGATTCTATCTTGAACCCTGCCAGAAAGCCTGTTTTCACATAAATCATCATAAGCAATTTTTATTGACTTTGGTATGTCTGGATGGCACTTTTTATCTTGAGTAGAAATTCTCTGATAACCTTGTCGCCTAACCCTATTAGATCTGGGTTATTACTGCAACCGTATTCCAAACCACTGCTATGAGCTCCCCGTTTTTGCGGGGCCGATGCGGCGAATGGTGCCCGTAACTCACCATCGACTAGAAAGCACTTGGTTCCGCGATGATACCATAATGATGACACGTTGGCCTACTAATCAGAGGAACCCAAGAGGTGGCCTAGATTTGCATTGTGATGTTGACACACACTTTGATCTTTTAGTAAAAAGGCAAGCAAAAGAGAAGGTAATATATATACGAGTTATTTTTACAGCTCGGTCTTCCTAGATTGTTCGTACTGAGCGTCTACGTTGGCATGTTTCAGAAAGAAGTATTAAACAGTGGCAACAAGCTTGTTGTAAGAAGGACAGCTAAATGTCACATATGAAAAAAATGACGTAGCATCCACGTCGACGTCTACGCTTCGTCTAAGAGTAATGAAGACATTATGTATGTTCTAAAGACAATGTAGGAACAGCTATTTCGGGTTGCAGATAATCGGGTGCTGAAAATGCCCACTCTTGCTTATTGTGATCTGACGTTGTCGTTTCCGTTGTACCGTCGACTATTGTTTTTTCCATAATAATAATAGCTACATCTGGCCTCGACGGAACGATAGCCAGGCCTATGTCGGCCACGGCCTCCTGCCTGTACGGATCCGCCGTGTCCCCCGGTGGAGCGCCAGGCAAGGGTCTTCCTTCGTATATGACGTCCCTCAAGGAGCAACTCCGAGAAGAACTGAAGAGCGTCACAAGTGAACGGAAGCGAATGCTTGAACATAACACCAGCCGGGATCACAGCACGCGCCGCTCAGAGAATGATCTTGCGTCTCTCCTAGCAACATGGAAGCCTCTACAGGTCAAATACATAACTTAAGACAGACACAGAATAAATTATTAATTATTAAGCTTCAATTACAATCACTCACTACTCACAGTCTACAAAGGCCTTCGTAAAAATATATCTTGTAGTTAACGGTAATCCTCGATAACACCTATGAAGCACAAAGCGATTTTAACCAATAATGAAAATAATGAATGAGTATAGTAATTTCGAAATTAAACTGAAGATTTTTTGTATTTTGTAGTTTTCAGATTGGAATTTTTGCTTCCCTTCATGAACGATTGTTATTATTATTTTTATTATTTTACAGGGCGAAGCCGATGATCCACTTTTGACTTCTCAACATCGACGCCAGCTCTCGGATTCAAGACTGGCAGCAACGATCGAGAGTGCCCTTGAACCCTCGAAAAAAGCCGAACTGGCGGCGCTTGAAGCTAAGCGGGCAGCTTTAGCTGCCCGTACGGCAAAGACGATGCCAGTGAGTAGATCGCGGACGCCAATGGGACCACTGGGGGCCACCGGCCACCACCGGCTCCCATCATTTAAATCGTACGAGTACGAATACCTTGACGACCTGCACCGACCACTTCCAGGGTTATACCGCGGCGGTCGTAGTGGCTCCATGTCAGACCTTCGACTGGCAACCGCCGGTTACCGAAATACGACGCATCCAACTGCGACGGCGCAAGGACTCGATTCTGACCTAACCGGTAACTAGTTTTGAGTTTTCAATTGTAGATCCTAAATAGGCTTTTATGTCCTGTGCGTAACATACACAGATTCAACATGTGAAAGTTACTAATTTTTCAAGCAAACAAGTGAAACACGAATGGCAGAGATAGTAATGATAGCTGATTCACGACGACAATGTTGGGTAGCAGGAAATAAAGGCACTGTTCGGCCTTGTGAGAGAACGATTCATTAAACAACGCCTAAGTTACGTTCCGTTCTGCTAGACAGGATTAATATATATTAGAGGAACTTCAAACGTTGTGGGGGAAAACATCTCAATTATTACCGAAACCCCTATGAAAAAGTAGGCAACAGCATGGCCGATAATAGCCCTTATTGGTGACGCATCATTGCCCCAGATCCTGCTGCCGAATGCAGGAGCATGTGCAAAATTCAGATTGCACTATATATTTAATATTATATATATATAA